AACAGATTTTGCGGCTTTCCAAGAATTTCCACAGCAGCATGTGTGGCACAAAAGAAACATTTAAAGAGAAAGATAGAGGGGGTTTAGGGGAACAGAATGGAGGCCCTGCTCATGTGTAATCTTAACAGAGTAATAAAATAAAGTCATTGAAACTCCCCGCTCCACATAACCCACACCCAAGTGAACCACGCAAAAAAGACGACAGAAACATTGCCAATTAGTTGCGAGAATTTATATTGCTTTTTTCGGTTCCCGAAGAGAGAGGGAAAATAATTTCTTGAAATTTATATTAGAAGCTGCTATAAATTATGGGTAGCACAGCAGCAGCAGCAACCGAAGCACAAGTCAAGACCCCGCGAAGGCTTAAAAAGTCGCCCAAAAAAACACCGAAACAAAAATAAAAATCGCTGGAAAACAACAAGCGAGTGCCAAAGCAATCTGGAGACAATAAGCTCAAAGTTGTGCAATGGAAAATGTCCAAGGAAGGCAGCGCCGAATGAATGGAAACTCAACGAGCTAGAGAGCGGCAGTCAAGTATTTTTCTATGGGAAATGCGGAAAATTCTTTCCAATGATATACTCACAGGGGGGGCGAAAGCAACTAATGAATGCCGCTGGCAAGAGAAAAAACAGCAACCGAAACAGGAGAAAAATATAAACATGGAGAAAAAGGAGAGAAGTGGACAGAAATTGCACTGCCAATAGCAGGCCAAAAAGGAAAATGTATGAAATGTGAGTGGAAATTAGCTGCAAAAAGTCATCCACAGCAAACGGCCAGAAGGAAAAATCTAAAAAAAAAAGTAATCAAGAAATTTCTGATACGTCTTCGAGAGAGTAATTACTGAACGAAAAGCATCAACTAAAGGCAGGAAAGGCTGTCAGAAAAAGAAGGAAGGATATTTTGAAAAAGGAATCTTCAGTTTGTGGGAGAAAAAAGTAATAAACAATAGCTGGCTTTCAATTTTAAGGATAACAAATGCCAGCTGGACCTGGTTGTTGGAAAACTTTGCTAGGCCCCTAAAATTTATGGAATGTTTTTTCACATTTTTATTTACTTGTTGATGCTGCACTCCTGTAAATATTGTTGGTTTTGAGACCTGAAATTGTTATGTCAGTTTGCTGCTGATTTTAGGCTGCATATGCACATAATAACTGCTGACAGTCTTTCAACATTTTAACTAGCAAGCGAAAGGGATTTGAATTTCGCAACCATTGCAATTCATTGTAAAAGTAAATATAGTAGTTACTTGTTGAAAAGGTTAACCTGTTTGAGTTGGTTTTCCTTTGAAATAAGTAAACATTTTGTCAAACCAATATTGAAGTTTTAAAATACATTTTGTGAGGAAAAGTTAAGACTACATAAGTCTAGAAAATATATTTTGATTTAATATATATTTTTCTCAGAACAAAATTGCTCACATTTTAGCCATCTATTGACTTTTCTGTCCTACTTTTTAATCATGCTTGACTATAATTATTTTCCTGCCGCCAACCATCTACTTTTGAGTGGTATTCCAATTCCCTGCCTCGTTTTGTCAACGAGCCACCATAATTGTTACCACTCGGGCTCCCGCTGCTTGTGAGCTTCAAGGTCGTTGCAACCGCACAGCGACAACCTTCAGGCCCCCCGGCGCCCCGGCGGGTGGTAAGCGATGAACTCTAGAGCTTGTATATGTGGCTTCTGTTGTCATTCCTTAACCGCCTCTGACATTTCGTCGTACAAAGGCTAAGCTTGCTATGGGGTCTCTTTTTCACTTTTCCGAAGAAAAAAGTGCTAAAATAAAGGAAGGAAGCAACCGAAACAGGAAGAAAAACAAGCCAGTAGGCAGGATAGAAAAATACATTCACAAAAAGCAGACTAAAAGCTTGCTTAGAGCAAAAAAGACCGAAGATGACATGAAGTGCAACAACAGAAGATGGGAAAAACTGGAAAAGCTGGGAGGAAAGTGACAGCATTTGTGTGTATGACAGCTTTTGGAAAGAAAGGAGGTGGTATCCTGATATCCTGGAATGCCTGTCTACGTGCAAATGAGGGATGTGCATTAGAGTTTGGGAAAGTTCCGTAGGAAAACCATTCAAGGTCTTAGCAACTCAGTCAGCAACCTTCAACTACAGTTACGCCCAAAAAAAATAAAAAACTGAACCAATTGCTTGGTAAATGGCCAACAAAAAAATGTATTTGCCCAACACCTGTATCAAGCCCGAAAGGCGTAAGCTACAAGCCAGAAAATAAAAATACAAAAGTTTGTATTTGAATTGGAAATAACTTTTTCCCTGTTTTCGGTTTGCTGCACTCAAACAAACTCGAATGGAACGGAACTGGTTTAAAGGATTACAAGGATTTCATGTTAAGCATTTTTCAACAAACACGCAGAGATGGGATTTGATTCTCTCTGGTGATCTCTTAAATATTTAATTGTATTTGGACAAGTGCGGAAAAGCACTAAACAGATGTGTTTTTGCACTTGGAGTAGATTATTTTGGGAAATGCGGAATTATGACTAAACTAATATTTTATGCCTCAGAATGTTGTTATATTTCTAATCAGGAAATTGCAGGGGCTTTATTCTACCAAAAACAAAGTACAATTTTAATTTCTTGGAACTTTAATTACTTAAGCAAAGGAAGCTGCATTCAAGCTGCCTTTTTTCTGTACTGTAAGGCTCAAATGTTAATTAAAAAGCTCATTCACAACCATGCCGATGAAGAGGTTGTTAATTAACTGGCAAACCAAAAATAAAATATACTTCCAAACCAAAACGAAATGAAACAAGTAGAAAACTTAAAAAAGCTGCCAATTAAATGGAAGGCAAGCCGAGTAAGCAGCAGTGAGTCGGTGGCATGTTAACATGGCTATGTGCTATGGACATCCATTTGGAATGTGGCCGAGCGCTCCCATTTAGCATGTCATTGGGCATTGGGCTTTGGGAGGCGGAAGGACCAACGGAAGGAAGGAAGGAAGGATGTGCTGCCAAGCGGACGGGGGAAAGGTGAAAAGAAACACACATCCTGGCGAGTAGCCGTCGTCATCCGCAGACATGTGTTAATTGTATTGTTCTGAAAACGCCAAGGGAGGAGGGGAAGGGAAATTGGGCGGGGAAAATGGGTCGGAAAAATGGGCAGGACAAGCGCCATGTTATTTTGATGGCTCAGCGCCAATTCACCTGGCGCCCCACCACCTTTCACCTCACCTCGAAAAACTCCCCCTCCGTTTTTTGTTGTTGTTCAACTTTTGTTTTATGTTGTTTTACACACAGCTGCTCGGTGTTGGTGTTGTTTTTGCACCTTGTAATTATTGTTGCTCCTATTAAGCCGGTTGTTTTAGCCGAGTGTTTATTTAGCTGTTAACAATATTTCGAGTGCATTTCACAAACACATTTCGAGCACACACACACAATTGTTAAGGCTTGTTGCTCACTTAATATAAATTTAAATTTTTGATTATAATTTATTATTATTATTATTTTGAATGAGTTTTTACATATTGAACATGGGATTTATGGGGAAAATGTAAAGCTTTGTAAAAGGGTAAACGTTAAGTGGCTTATCTGCACATTAGGATTATAGTTTAATCTTTTTTGTGTAAGCTTTAAAAGTCATATACATTTTAATACAATGAATAGAATTTTAATCAATCTGAAGCTAAAAAGTTGTAGTAAATAAATTAATTTTAACTTGTTCTCTTTCATTATTTTACATCTACTTAGCTACAATCGATAGCTAAAGGACATTAAAGGCCCAAAAGCTCATTTCAACGAAAACTACCTGCCATTTGCCTGCCCTAAAATCCAAATCCTGAACCAATAAAAATAAAAAAAAGAACACTAAAAACAAGGGAAAACATAGCTAGTACGAAAAGTTTAATTTACCCGCCAAAGCCAACCAACATTATTTGCCTTGGGGCTAATTTAATTGGTCCTTTTTTTTAAGGTAATTACATTGAGGGGGGTGGTCCAGTGACCTGAGGGGCCGCGGATCAAAGAAACGCATGAAAATGCAATTAACAGGGACAGAAATGGGTAAAAATAAAATGTGAAACCTCTGTCAACAGACAGCTAAAAGCAAACAAAATGAAATGGCAGTCAAAAAGTGCAAATCGAATGCAACAAATTAATTGTAGTTGCTGTTGGTGTACTTTTTTGTTGACTTTTGTTGGTGTAAATTGTTGTTGTGTTCGCTGGTTTCAATTAGCCAAAAGCCGCAATGGTTGGACGAATGGGGCGAATGGTCAGCGTAAAACTGCAAACTTGGCCAAAAGCAGCTGCTATATCCTTTTGCCCCCCTGCCTTTCGCTCTCCATAGTAGAACCACCCCCCTTTACAAAACCCTCCCCCTTTTTGGCCTTTCCCCCACCGTGTGTAAATATTTGACATGAGCACCAAAACACGAGAGTAAAGCAAAACATATCTGCTTTTGTTGTAAGCCAAAATGCAAACGGCATTAGCCATGGTCAGTGCGTTATAGCGAGGTGTATAGAGGCAGTACAGTGAGAGAAAATGGGTGTTAAAATATTTGGAAACATGAAATCTTTACAGAAGATAAATTTTGTGGAAATAAATTCCCCAAATTCAAGTTAGATATTTTTAATAAATATTTTTATTATGTAAAGATCTTTACTTATCTTTCTAAATATTTTTTTCAATTGCAGTCATTATATTCCAGTGCACTTTAACAGCTATATATCTATATGTTTACCCATGGATTTACTGCGTGACTAACCGCCGTCATGAAAATCAAACGTGAAACCAAAACCCGAAATGCGAATTGGCCCCAAAAATCTGTTGGTCATTTGTGGCCTACAGTTTTGCCATAGAATAAACACACTACGTTCGGTTTATAAAGAGAATCTCTTATCAGGGCCAGCCCCTTGAAACCGCTCCTGTGTCCGGAGTGGAGCAATGTCAGAGCAACAACAATAGCTAATGACATCATAATGAAATCGACGGAGGCCTTATCAGCAAAGTTTGTCCAGAACAATGGGCGCAATGCCGCCGGACTCACCTCATTATCAATGTTTCTGATGAGCGGCGTATTCCTGCTTTTCTCGCGCAGCGCCAGCAGCTCCTTCTGGTGTCGCTGCTGCTTCAAATGGTGCTCGTGCTCGATCTTATTCCACTGCTCGTTGGAGAAACCCTCCTCCGACTCGGAGTCAGAGTCGGAGTCCTCGTTGGAGTAATCCTCCACCCCACCGTCGTTGTTCCTCTGATCAATCTGCAGATTGGCATCTATCAATTGCAGCTTGGGCCTCTCAGTGCGCACCATGGGCTTGATGGTCGTCGTGGTTGAGGTGGTGGTTGTTGTTGTTGTGGAGGCCCTTGTGGTGTGTGGTTTCTTAACAACTTCCTTCTCCTTGTCCTGTTTGAATAGCCAGTCGAAAATATTGCGTTTGCCAGCTGCCTTGTCATGCGGATTGGCCACACTGGGATGCTTATTACTATTGTGATTCTTGTTCAAATCCATGTCCAACTCATCCGTCTGATCGTAGCCATCGTATTCCAGATCTTTCGATTCGATGAGAGGTCGTTTCTGGGTGAACAGCGAGTATCTGGGCATTTGCCGCGCCAGCTCCTCGTCGACGGCATTGGAATTGGCCTCATCGTCGTACTCGTAGTCCTCGTCGTCGTCATCATCCTCATCGCTGTCCTCGTCGGAGCCACTGGTATCCAGTTCCTGCCGCCAGTTGGGGCCGCGGGTGGAACGGGGCTCGGCCCAGGAGGGATATATACCTTCCCTGTCGAAGTAGCGAGTGTGATTCGAGACCAGGCCATGATGACTGGTTGTGAGCGCCTCGGAGGTCACTATATTCCTGGGGGTACTGGTGGCAATGGACAGGCGGTGCTGCTGATGGCGCAGGGAGGGGAAGACCCTCTGCTCCCAGCTCATGTGGTGGCGATTGTGGTGACGCAAGTGGTGCTGCTGCATGGGCAAATGGGGATCGAAGGATTTCGGGGCTCCTCCTGCTGCTCCGATCTCAGGCGGCTGATGATTGCCCTCCAGTTCGGCACGCACGTGCTGCTCGTGCCGCAAATGATGATGGTGCTGCTGATGGGCCTCCAATTGCTGGGCTTCCTGCAGTTGCTGCAATCTCAACTGCTGATGGGGACTGCGGTGACCTGAAGAAGCCGGAGCCGTTGTGGTCATTATGGCTGCTCCTTTTGGAACACTCGAGTTGGCCCCACTTAGGGGCACCAGCAACAGCAGCAGCAGCCCAATCATTTTGGGCAATATTAGCTTTCCCCTCGGGGAACTCATAGCTGTGTTTTTCGCGTTTTTTATTCCGTCGTTTGAGAAAAATTCTCTCTGTTCTTTGTTTTCCGGACTCTCACACGCGTTTATTGTGCACTTTTCTTTGTCGTTTGTCTCGTTTCGCCGTTCCTTTTGTCTGCCCAATTAGCAATAAATTATGCTCATCATATTTTGACACTTGTTGACAATTTAAGATATTCTTTTTTAATATATTTTAAAAGGAATTTTAATTGTTCACTTGAGCGGATATTTAAATGGTAATTATACTTGAATTGTATTTATTATATTTTCTTTTTTATTTGTAGCTTTTTATCTGATATGGAATCACATGCGGGGGATTTTAATGATTTACTAAAATAATTCATTGAGAAATGTTCTGTTTATTTTTTGGGATTTTATATATGTTTTTCTGTGTTGCAGACACAAGTTTTTTTTATTTATGGAGCAATATTGACAGAGATTGTGGTAGAGATTTATTTGTATTATTAAAAAACAATGAGATTACTTAATTTAATTATTTTTTTATAGATTTTTATTTGTTCAGATAACTTGTTATTCTTTTTTTATATTTTTAATCGAAGAAATTTCACATTTATTTTGTTTTAATAACACTTTTGTTTCTTTTTTGTAATTTAATTTTCTTTTACTTTCACACAGTTTACAATTAAATATTTTTTTATTTATGACACAAATATGTTGTTAAGAATTACAATTAGTTTCCTTCACAAACTTTGATTAATTAAAATGAGATTATGATTTTACCAATTTATGGCAACGTTAATCTTCCGCAAAATCCGCGCGACTTTTGACGCGATGCCAAAGGCAAGAAAAACACACCCACAAAAGCCACTCACGCACTTTCGAGTATATATACTCCGATATACTTATATGTATATATATTTCTGGTACACGGCTTGTTGTTTGTGCAGCGGCTTGTTTGTTTTGATTCACTTGGCCAGATGGCGGTATCGCATAGATGGTTTTTTTTTTAGGTAAATGCAAAGATTTGCGGACAATTCCCGACGACTTACAGATAACGACTGACACACGGGATCTCGATGGATTGGATTCTGAGGCAGATGCGCGACCGGTGGAAAATGTTGAGAACGCCGCCACCGCGAGCAACAAATTACACTAGCAACAAATGTTGCGATCCACAAGAGAGAGCATTAGCAGTGGGCATCATGTTGCCAGCAACAATTGGAGTTTGGGGGTATCTCAAATATCTTTGTAACTTTTATTAAATCCAACCAATTAAACTGGAAATTAGTTTGTTTAAAAGAAAAAATAAGCATTTTAGACACTATAGAGCGGATACGCTGGAAAGTGGAAAGTGTGGAAAGTTATTAGAGCTCGAGCAACAAATTACACTAGCAACAAATGTTGCCATCCACAAGAGAGCGCATAAGGCTTATGAAACATGTTGCCAGCCACATTTGGTGTTTAGAGGAAATCATGAAAATCTAAACAACATTTTAGCAGTAAATCCCAGCGATCAGCCTGGAAAATCATTGGTTTAACCAGTTCACAGAGGAAAATGTAATTTCAGTTGGACATTGTGCATGTAGCATCATAAAATAAAATGTCAGCAATCTCCCACACAATCTACGGAGGCTGCAACCTGAAAGAAACCTAAGCACTAAGGAAAAATGTGTTAAAAAACATAAAAATTTAAGAAAATTTATATTAAATTACAAATTAAAACTAATATTTAAGATATCATTTAAGAAAAACAAAGAAATATCACCCATCATTAAATAAAACATAGTATTTGACCTTTATTTAACTTGTAGAATTGTTATTTCTGTCACTGTAGCAGTCATCTTCATCTTGAAACCACATCAACAGCTTCGGCCATACGCCCATGTCTCGTAAGTTTTCCCCTGTCGCCTGAGAACTTCTTCTCGAGTTCTCAACCGCCGATGATTGCTGTGCGTTGGCTGCTGATTTTCCGCCTTTCGTGTGGGCAGTTGCACAGACATTCATTACATAATAATAATAATGAGATTGTGTATTATTTCCACCTCAAATACACATCTTCAGTCCTCGTTTCTGTTTTGGAACCACAGAATGTGTGATTTCCAGGAAGACCAGAATTTAATATCCTTGAGCAGCGGCCACCAGAAGAGCAAGAAGTAGCAATCAAGAACAAATTTTCCAACTAATTGCCATTAAACGAAACGTACAGAAATAAAATTGAAAAAAAAGGTTCCACCTAGTGAGTCACCGAAGGAAGCAAACTTCTTAGCATGATCATAAAAAAGTGGCTCAGGCTAAGACTGATCGATGATAAAAGAGGAAAACGACAGAAGGGTTGAGGCCTCAAATTAAGACTTAAAAACATTTTATGATTCTCTCATATGTATATGTATTTTTCTTTTTGGAAAATTGATTTTTCCTGGCTGGGCGTGCAAATAGGATTTGTGAGGCGATCAATAAGAGATTTGTGAGTTTCCCACTAAATTTGAGATGCCTGATTATAACGAATTATGGCTGATAGATAGTCGTGTAGGGTAACTTGTTCCCTAACTTCTTTAAAGTCCCCTTGAATTCCCCTTCTTCATAATATCTATTCCCTCCTCTTTTGATCTTTGAAATGCTGTTGCCTGTGGCCTTTCTTGTTTGATTTTTATAAGCTCCAAGGCAAACAAGTTTCGTTTTCTTTCGTTTGTAGATTGTAAAGATTGTTATATCATTGTTGAGCATTTTGTGTGTGTGTTGTCTCGGGGTGAGCTACGGTAGGTGATAAGCTATAAAGCTGACTGAGACCATAAAACGTATATTAGGTGTTGAATTTTACGCTTCATTTAAGATTTCTTAGGGTAAAAAACAATATCAGTTCTGTTTCTTGTATGGGGAAGATTTTCTAATGGAAATGGGTAAAAATATATATAACCCATTACATTGCAAAGGGAAAAAGAATGATTAAAAGATCTTATTTCCCATCCATGCTCAACTGTAATGCACTTTTCCCACCGCAATTATGTTGCCTAATAAAACTCATATTAAATTATGCACAACATTCCCCCAGAATGTTCTCATATAACACCTAAAACACCGCTCTACCCCCCACATCCATGGGTTAAACCCCTAAGCCAAGTTAAGCCAACTAATTTGCAACATTCTCAACTTCTCAACAAGTTTTCGGTAGCGACTCCCAAAAACTAAATCCACGCCGTAGCAAGAGGCAATTTAATAATCATGAGGCAATTTGCACTGCAACACCCACACTTTTCCACCCACGTTCCTGGCATTTTCCAACCCTTTTCCCAGAGCTAATGAAATCATTGCCAGTGCTCGATAGAGCGTTAAAAAATCATCAAGTTGCTAATTAGGTTGACTAAAATGCTTGACTTGATTTTCCTGCGGACGCGGCCCAAAGTTCATGGTGGGACAATCATGGGTTAACAGCATTAAAAGCCACCCAGCAGCAGCGAAAAACTCTCTCCACCCCCCTTAGCCCATGCAAAACTTTTCCATGTTGTCGTATTTTCTTTTCTTTTAATTGTTTTGCCCGTAAAGTTTTCCCAACGCCAATGAAAATAAAAATTGTTTCTTTAAAATTAATTTTGGCCAGCATCAAAAGGTTAATAAATAAATCTTTTTAAAAACTATAAATAAATGAAGAGGAAACTTTTAAGTAGGGTTAATGGGTTAATCAATAAAATATAATATTACATTATTTATTTTAGTAATTAAACAGCATTCTTTTAATTAAATAATTGATTTTAAGAAGATAAACATAAAACAGTACAAATTGCTTCCAAATTTAAATTGAAATTCAATTAAACAAACTTTTAATTGTGCATTTTTCCTAAGCGACAAAATTAAACAAATTTAATTGCATTTCCCCAAAAGAGGAAAATCCATAGCCCTTGGGGCCAGACAGTAATTAGCATTTCCCGATCGACCTAATCAATCAGCAAGCGGGGGCGGACAAAGTGGGCGGGGCTGCAGGTTAAATGCCAATAAACTTCCAGGAAAAACAAAAACAGAGGAAAATAGAAAAGAAAAAAGCTAGCAAAGTCAAGAGCGATACACAGAGTAGAGCAACAGCAGGGGAAACAGCGAGGAAAAGTGGGCGGCAGTTGATGGGTGTGGCAACTTATTGGCTCAAATTGTTTTCCCCGTTGTTCCTGTGATTGTAATGGATGAATTTCTTTTGGCTTAGCTGCCGGGGCCATCTATAAGATACAGATACAAAACTGCGATGCGAGCATGAAGCTATTTTCCGGGAGGGGCGTCGTGTTTTGGGGGCGTGTCCCCAGCAATTTTCAACTTGATATCTTTACCAGTTGGGCCAGTTAGTATAGTAGTCTGTGTGTGTGCAGGAATTCTGAGCAAACAGACTAAGTAAGCGATTGCCGAGGGAATAAAATGGCCAAGCAACTAAAGGCACCTAAATTGGGCCACAACGAGGCGAAGGGGCCAAGGAAACACCTTGTGCTCCACAGATAACTGGAATTTGTAACTTGGAGTGGCTATAATAATAGCATCCATTAGAGGAAGTGATATTCAGAGTACAACTGAGGTGAGAAAGCTATTCGTTGACTTCATTTTAAAAACAAACTTTATGCATATAAAGTAAAACATTTTAGTTACAATTTAACAATAATATATATTATATATTATTCAAAAACCGCTATCATCTAAATTAATTTATATTAATTGAAAATATCTTTCAAAAACCCTGACAAACCTTCTCATACTTAACTCTATTAAATCAGGGCTTTGTAAACAATATTATCCAGAAATTCATTTATTTTCAAACCCCACTTCAATGGCTGTCAATCATCCTGCAACAAAGGAGTATTTCCCTTGAAATAATACACGATACCACAATTTATGGCGGTACGGTACCCCCCATTGTCTCAATTTCCCCCAACCGCATTTAGTTGCCTATCAGTCTTCACCTGGCACACTTTGTAGCCACTTTTATGACAAATATAACCCCAAACGTATACAAGAACGCACAAAGTTGCCAGCTCGCACTTTGCCACGCCCACTTTACACCGCCCCCACAGGCAACAAGGAACTGGGATATACATGCGTATATGTGGATATGGGAATATTCCTTCCAGGAGCTAGAGAAATGCCGTTGCCATTGAAGACGAGTTGCCATCATCTCCTGTCTCCTTTGCCTCGTTAAAATCTGTGAAAAAATATGTCTGGCTTTCCGTTATACAGGACGATATCCGTAGGGTTACAGTTTTCCTTCCTATTTTTTTTTTTTTTTTAGTGCCGCAGTGGCTGCTGTGGCTGTGTAGGTTGTTGCTGGCTTGTTAACAACACCAGAAGGCAGACGCTTTCTTGGGCTTCCGCAGCTTCCTTTTGTAAACACTGAGAATAAAAAATGTGGAAAAATATAAAATACCTTTTTAGTTCGATGTTAAGAAGGTTCCATTTTAGATAGATTTAGTCTTAGATTGTTTTCAAATTTTCAAATAAAAATTATATAGGTTCTTCCTCTAAAATAATTCTCGATATCTTTTTTATTTATTTTTTCTAAAGTTCTATATTTTTGCAGTGTAATTTTAACGCAT